TGTATGTAATCTCAACAGTCTAGTAACTAGATAGAGCCAAGAAAACCATGGAAATCAGTGTATAAGAGACAGTCATTGCGTCATAATCGTCATGGCATGCTAGCTGAAGGTGGGCAACACACTTCAGCTAATATGCCGCAAGAAAATGGAATATTTTGACAAAAATACAGAACAAAACATTTTTAGTTTGTTTGTCATACGCCGGTTTTTCTCTTTTTTTGTCATTTTCAATTTTTGTAGAATTAAACATGTGAATCAACACAACACTGTACACAATTCTTCCATTGATTCCGTTTGCGAACCATGTCTTCAAGTGTCCTAAGCCATTGGCACTCGCCATCTTTGGGTCCCCATCCTGGAAGACGTACGGGTCCAACAGCGGCTAGACACGACGTCAGCGATTTCATGTGCTGCCGCCAAGTGGAAGGCTGACCACCACGCGGTCGCTTCCAACCAGGTCCTTGACGAGCGAATAGAGCGCGACGCGGTAGACGCTCAGGTGCCATGCGTAGGACATGACCGAGCCATCTTAACTGGCGCAACAAAACAGTTTGTTGAAGGAAAATACTTGCATTCCCCAAGACACGACGTCGAACGTCATTACTGGTAACTCGATGTTGCCACCGAACACGAGCGATCCTCCTTAAGCAACCGTTATCGAACGCAGAAAGACGACGCATGTCTTCCACGCGAATCGGCCAGGACTCGCTCCCGTACAACAATACTGAGCGAACGGACGCGCTGTAAACTCGGCCCTTTAGTGAGAATGAGACGTCGCGACGACGCCCACAAGTGCCTCAGATTGACAAATGCTGATCGAGCTTTAGCGATACGAAGCGAAACTTCTTTGTTGATTGTGCCGTCAGCGGAAACACAGCTCCCAAGGTAGACGAAACTATCTACCTGTTCAAGTTGTGCACCTTGGAGAGTGAGCTCGGGGTGCAGGTGAAAGCCAATCCTTGAGCAGTACTTTTCACTTCGATGGGGCGAAGCTCATGTCATACTTAGATGCTTCAACCGCCAAACGATCCAGAATGAGTTGCGTACCCTGAGGATGGTCACCAAGTAAGGCGATATCATCAGCATAATCTAAGTCGGTCGCGCGCTCACCCGGTAGAAGCTCTAGGCCAAAATGTTGGAAACCTTCTAGGGCATTCGACAGAACGTCTTCGATTGCGAAGTTGAAGAGGAATGGGGGACATAGGGCAGCCCTGTCGCACACCGCTATTGACAGTGAATTGCGAGGAAAGCTTGCCATAGACCCTCACTCTGCCGGATGTGTGAAGGTAAAGTGCTCGTAAGATGGCGATATATTTCTCTGGCACCCCGTTCTTTAGTAAGCAACGCCATAAAGCAGGTCGATCAACGGAGTCAAAAGCGGCACGTATGTCTAGGAATGCAACGATAGTGGGCCTGTGATAAATGTGGCGATGTTCAAGGAGTTGGCGGAGCGTGAAGATTTGATCCACGCATCCGCGGCCAGGACGGAAACCAGCTTGTTCTTCACGGTAGTACGATTCACGTACTGGGGATAGTCTACGAAGTAGAATGGATGCCAACAGCTTAGAGGCAACCGAAATAAGACTAATCCCGCGATGATTTGCACATGAAGTGCGAGCGCACTTTCTTGAAAATTGGGACAATAACTGATTCGCCCCAAGAGGGAGGCACTCTCTCTTCATGCCAAATTTTTGCGAACAGCGCGGTTAGCTGGTTACTGACTGCCACACCGCCATACTTGAATAGCTCCGGAGGAAGTCCGTCTAAGCCGGCAGCCTTGAAGCGCTTCAAGCGTCGAATCTCGAGGCAGACTTCCGCTTCGCTGGGTGGATTCAATGGGACTAGCCAAGGTGGACCGCAAGGTGTACTGCATGTACTGATGGATGGTGGAGGCCAGTTAAACTGCGAGTGAAAGTGCTCGGCCCAGCCGTCCATACGCCTCTGTTTGGTTGGTGATCGGAGACTCATCCACCTCACAAATGACGTCACTGACACCAGGCTTCCTGAGGCCAGTGGACCGAATGAGTTGGAAAAGCCTGCGTGTGTTACCAGAGAGGGCAGCAGTCTCCATCTCTAAAGCACGCTCAGACCACCATGTCTCGCGATCCTTGCGGAGGCTTTGCTTAAGCAGCCGGTTGGTAGAACGGCGCCGCTCGTTGCAATCTGATTCCGCGGAGATATCTTTGCGGCGTTCGAAGAGCTCCAGAGAACGAGCAGAGATCCAAGACAGATTTTCGCGCAGACCAGAGCATGATCTGAATCAACGAAAGTGGACCAAAATGACCTGCAGTCCAGTACGCTGCCGCGCCATCTGAAGCTAATCGCAATGTGATCAATTTGAGACCAAGGTTGTGTTGGCGAAGGGGGACGCCAAGTTGCGGAACGTTTCTTCGTACGCCTGAAGCTAGTGCTCGAGAGAAACAGACGGTTGTCCTCGCACAATGTGAGAAGGATGGGAGAGTGCTGAGTTGTGGTCCAGTGGAGGATGGACATCTTCAACAAGTCAAGGGAATCTTTTACTCTTTGCACGGACTTCTGGGACCGAACACATGGACCGAAACTGTCAAACAGTACACTGCACTATATAGCCATAACCCCAAATACTCAGAGCACATGCACCCGGTCCGCTCATCCGTCAAACTGAACGTGAACCTACAACCTTGTGTGACGAGCGAGGGAATCGACTACTCACCCGTAAGCGTGGCGAAGAAGACTCACTCCGCTGATATTGGCAAGCGCTTTCAGTTGTTAGGCTGGATTCGAAAATCCTGTCAAGGATCCTATTGTGCTCATTCTTCCTGTCTGCGGATGGAAGATGTGGACTATGCGAGGAGCTTGTTGTTAAACAGTGAAATGAAACCCGGTAGGTTTTCATTTTCGGAAGCCTTAACGCAGTAAAAGAAGAAAACCTTCAACCTCTCAACTTTGCCCGACAGCATCGGATTTTTTCTACCAAATGGGAGACGGATTTAAAGCAAACAACAGGCTTGTACCACCTGTTAATTTATTTGTCCCCAGGTGACTATCATCGCTTCCATTCTCCCGCCGATTGGTCCATACATATGCGCAGGCATTTTCCAGGTAGGTGGCTTTCTTTTAATGATAGCGATCTCTGAACAACCATGATGATGTAGGAGTATACTTCGTTTGGGAAATGTACCTAGTATTGTGTATACAAACCGTGATCTTCCGCAAACTGTTGCTATTATTGAATGTAAGCTAGGGTACCATCAAGCTTCGTCCGGAAACCGTTCAGCACTTGGACGCTAAACTCCTTGGTTGGTAGTATATGCTCTCTTTCTAACCTTTCCAAGTGTTTGAGGATTACCCGAAGGCTATTAAAGCAATCTTTCATTACATTTCTTACTATTGTGTGGGCATAAGCAGCTTCTTGTTTGTCCCCCAGCTTCCCTTTATACCCGAAAGATAGTTCACAAGTGATGAGAAGATAATTAAGGGTATCGATTGTTAACCAGCCGTTCGTGTCAATTTGCCTTCCAATGATTCCAGACTTTCACACCCCCATCTGTAATCATTCTGTTATGAAGGATGAGCCATAGCGATTTTGAATATGGTTTTGAAGCACTGGGTGTAATACGTTCACTGTGTATCTCAACAACCCACAGTATCAGTGAAAATCACTCACACGTTTCGCATGTAGCATGTATAGATACGTGTAAAGACATATAGATGCATCTCCCTAGTCAACACTAACGCGTGATGACTGCCTGCACTTGTGGAAGAACAGATATGTCGGATGCATGACACACCATTCATTGTCTGATGGGCATTTGCTTCTTTTGAATAGCGCAGGGAAATAAACTATCTGGTAATGTGTAGCAATCGTGATTGCGGTGTCGACCGGATCGCTAACGCTTCGTACTCAAGCGACAGAGCAAGAACGATGAGACAAGGAATTTGCCACAAGAAGGGAGGATGATGTGGTGATCAAACGCAAACAGTTAGGACATCTTTCGCGAGAAAATGTCGTCTCCCAACCGTACAGCAGTACGGTCCATACCGTACCATCGTGTTCGCAATGTGGCTTTTCGAGTAGCGTGCACATTGACTTGTGCATTCGTATAGATTTGAACTGGAAAATCGCTGGAATCGAACTCTTTTAGCGACAGAAGCGTTGGAACAGAACTTGAGATGTTCCTCGGTAATAGCTTAGTCTTTTGGAGTGTACAAAAGTTCGCATGACTGCCGCTTGGTTACTATTTTTCACTGACTCTAGTTTGCAAGTTCCTGTATAGTCAAATGGCTTTTATGTTTCAACTTCGGAAGCATACTTGTTCACACTTGAGCGCTGGTATGATCCAATACCAAACAATGTAAGCACGGACTGACCATAGCAGGAGTGAGAAAAAAAATATATATATATATATATATATATATATTCAAGCATCATGGTATGCCCCTGATATATTTTCTACTTGGCTTGTCAATAGCGATCGCACATGAAGGTGGTGGTAACAAGGTACACGACAATGCGGGGCACAATCTCCAATACTGGTACCATGGGGATTCTTGGTCTTTTCTGGGGTAACAAGGCAACAGACTTCTCAACGCTGACATCGTAGAATGTACCGTGACCTAGTAACCGCATTGTATATGTAAATGTCATCCGCCTCGAAAATTTTTCTCACGGAGCGACCAATGGAACTTTTTTCCATGTTAAACTAATGCTTTCCTAACACACGTATTGATTCTATTCGTAGCCGTCAACCGCTGTTGCAACTTTTGGGAGATTGCTGCGCCAGTTCACATATTGATGGTTGGTACACGTGTTAAAGGAATGCGCTTCGCATTCGTATCAATCACGAATGTAATCCGCACTTCCCCCTCTATTTATCCTCCAGGTTTGTACCAGGTACGGAGTATGTGGGCTGCTGAGTGAGTGGTAAATCGCAAACCGCTCGTACTCCTTCCGCAAATGAAGGTGTATGGTAGCTGATAACAGTTATGGTGATAAGTTAATCCTAAAAAGTGAAGTCACTACCTCAAACTGCGATTTGCGCTCACAAGTTTCACCAGTCGGCTGCATGACTATTGTAAACTGAATGCGACTCGAATGACTTCACCGACTTGTTCGTTTATCACACACTAATAATTTTCTGTCAGGCGACGATATCATACACAACACTGAGATCTGAATATCAGGGGGTAATTATCAGCTAATCATTCACCTGTTTAACGACACTTCGTCAGCCTATCACCTGAAGGAAGCAACAATGTAAGGATCCTAGAACCACATCTTTCATAATCGAATTATCCAGGCGTAATCACATTATCACAGCGAAGGAGCAAAGCATGCAGAAGTTACGTAATGCTTCCCCCTCGTCACAAAAAGCAATTGATTTGACCATACTGTGCGTTGCACCCATAGCGAATGTGGTCAGATATATCCTTTATGCGATATACTGAATCGGGTCAGGTTACTGACAACGGAAGCCATGGTAAATAAGGTTCAATAAGTAAATAAATAAATGTTTTATTTTTGGCAGTGCGAGGTACGCCTGCAAAGGCATGATCGTGATAATACAAACACGTATGGTGGGTACTTGCACAAAAGCGCCGCAAAATGACCAGGAACATACCGGATCTACGTGTATGTATATATGTAGCTGTATGTGTAAGTCAAGCTGACGTCTGTGTAAGTGGACATGGTGAGTGAATTTGTTACTTTGACTCTGAATCCGTGATTTCGTTCGCTGTGTTCGCCATCGTATGAAGGGATTAAAGAAATTCTTCGAAACTACAGTGAGGTGGGAAAGCTTCTACGGAAAGAGAACAGACAGTGACTATTTAGTGGCTAGTCACATTCATCACGTCAAAGTAATGTTAAACGGACTTTGGTGGCTTTTTAGAGGGATAAGACTTGCCAGGCGAAAACTCACCACGTCCTGGAACACTGTCACCGAATTATTCGCTGGAACGTGATAAACCCGAACCACCCAGCCGGCACCACGGGGAGATTGTTCGGCGAGCAAGCTGACTGTCATCTATTTCGCTACGGGTTCTGGGCATATCCTCCTTGTTGGCTTTATAACCAGCAAGATAAAAAAATAAACAAGAAGCGAAAAACGACAAAGCGAGTCATACTCAATAGAGGGAAGAAGAGAGTGACCTATACAGGAACGTGTCTAGACGCGTTACTGCACTGCATCAGATGCAGCCAACTGTCGCTAATGTAGTTTATTCCGGAGCCCTACTCCATTAATAAGGCAAGCAACGGGTGTTTCGTGTGCTTCTTCAATATATATCTCCGTGTCCACAACCGTGGGGATAGTAGACAGGCAGAGATCCTGGCCTACTCCGCGTAGGTGTATAAGGGTTAACAACTCCTCAATGTCGCACAAAATGAGTCGTTGTTAGTCCCCAGGTGACTGGTGCTATGTTTCAATTCAAGTAGAATGCCCATTTGTTCCGTCAAGTTTCGAAAGATAAGCAAAACACGAAGCTTTGAGTAAACAATTGTTTTCGATTACTTCTTCATCAAGCTCATACAGTAATATACATTATGTTAACGGCTGCTGCAATTGTTAGTGTAACAAAGAAACAATTGATACGAAAATTTAACTTGTGATCATGATGACCCTCATCTGATCACGTGACTGAGGTCAGGTGAATTTGCGGAGTACCACTGCTTCCTTCACGGCTGATGGTCGGCCAGGGAAGTTGTAGTGTTTGTATTAGTTTCTTCTGAACACACAAGTCCGGATTTGTTAGACGTATGCATATTGCCTCAGCGGTGGCGAGTATGCTTGCTCTTAGACGATGATTTTGTCTTGATGGCATTTTGTAGAGAATTTGAAAGGCTGTTCGTTTGTCTATCTGGTGACCTGTGTTTATTAGATGGTTTGTAATCGCACTGTAGTTTGTTCTATTCTCCTGCTTGTAGAGCCAATCTGGCAGGTGTTCCTTAATTCTCTTACGCAGATGCCTGGTCGTCCGTCCAACGTACCTGGACCCGCACGGGCAGGTGAACCGGTAGATTAACATCGATTGGAAATGATCAGACACTCGGTCTTTGAACCTCGGAACTAGTAAAGGTCTGCTCGTGAAAATCACATCAGCTGAGCCGCATTAAAGGTCTTTTTGCAGCTTTGCTGTAGTCGGCGTGTGCATGTCTCAGCCGCGCCATTTCCTTTGAATGGAAGTGTCAAGTAAAGCTGTTTCTTTTCAACGGTTTGTTTTGATACTTTTGGTATGCATCGCTTCATATGGGTCTCGATAAATCGCTCCGGATATCGATTTTCGAGAAGCGCCTCTTTGATTCGCGCGAGTTCGGCTTTTATGGTATCTTGGCTGCAGATTTTATATGCCCGATCGGTTAGCGTTCTTACCAGCGTTCTTTTTTGGCTGAGTGGGGCGAAACTATGAAAGTTCATGTATTGGCCCGTCCAATAAGTTTTCCTGTATACTTTTATTTCGATTGATCCATCGGTTCTTTTGATAAGACTTGCGTCCAAAAAATTCATTTGGTTGTTGTTTTCTTCTTCAGCTGTAAATGCGGCATTGGGGTGCGCTTTGTTGAAACAGTCGATTATATCTTGGGGTTTGGTGGTCCGATCACTTATACAAATTATATCATCCACATAGCGCCGATAGAATTTTAGACCGGATATGACCTGTTTTAATGGACCGTTTTCTAGCATTCCCAAATAAATATCCGCTAACAATGGACCAAGCGGGGAGCCCATTGCAAAGATTGCAACAGACGTTAACATAATGTATATTACTGTATGAGCCTGATGAAGAAGTAATCGAAAACAGTTGTTTGCTCAAAGCTTCGTGTTTTACTTATCTTTCGAAACT